TGCATTATATAAATTGGCTGAAAAAGTATAAGAAAAAATATAAGGTGTTGCTGATACTGATAAATTTAGAGTTGTTTTTGATTTATGCAATATCACATCAATTTATGCAATGTTATTAATATTGAGTTGGTGCAAGAATTAGCGAGTTGATTTAATTTGTTGTTGTTGTTAAGTGCTGTTGAGTTGGTTCTGAATCATATAGACCTTGTATAGGGTTCCCGAGGCTATAAATCTTTATGGGAGCAGAAAGTCTCATCTTTCTCTAGAAGAGTGTCTGGTAGATTTGAACTAATGACCAAACAAACTAATTAGTTTGAAATGAAACTAATTATTTGAGCCCAGCTTGTTATCCACTACACTACCAGGGGCCCTTATTTAATTTGTTGTTGTTTTCAAGTGCTGTTGAGTTGGTTCTGACCCATAGTGACCCTGTATAGGATTTCCAAGGAGCACCTGGTAAGCTTGAACCACTGACCTTGCATATCAAACCAACTGTGCAGTCCAGCGCATTAACCCACAACACCACACCAGGATTCCTTATTTAATTTTGTTGTTAAGTACTGTCGAGTTGATTCTAACCCTATATAGGGTTTCCAAAGAGCAGATGGTGAGCTTGAACCACCGACCTTGCAGTTCAAATGACTGTGCAGTCTGATGCATTAGCCCACAGCACCATATTTGAAACAGATAATGCTTTTGCTTCAAAGTCAAGTAAATTATTTGTCAATGTGGATGTGAACATTCAGGAAAATGTTTTTTTTATACTTGATTCAGTTATTGGTGCATTTTCAAGTTTGGAGCAACTTAAGTATGCACATTTTCTTTTTCAACTGTAAATTTTATGAAATCTAAATACATAGCAGATGTTTGAATACTTGACTTCTAAACTAAGATGTGTTGCAAATGAGAAATACACCTCAAATTTAGAAGACCCTATATAAAAAGAAATGTATAATATGTCATGAATAGTTTTTATAATGATTCATGTTGAAATGATAATATTTTGGATATGTATTGGGTTAAAATGAAATATAGTATTAACATGAATTTCACCCTTTTGATGTGGCCACTAATATTATTTTTACATTCGTTTGTAGCTTATATTTCTATTGGACAGTATTGATGTAGTATCTTAGTGATATGTTAGAAAACAGAAAGAAACTCAACGTTTTTGCATAGATATTAAAAAAAATTTAGAAGTTTACTTTTGTCATTAACATCCAATGGGAAATATTACACATTAAAAAAATGTGAGTGTAGTGTAGCATAGTAAGTAAATTTCTGCAATGAGATTAATATGTATTAAGGCACGTTTCAAGGTTGTAGAAAACAAGTGAGATGTGATTCATGTAAAAATTAAGATGCATTGGCATAAAAGCATGTTGTAAACTAGAGAGAAATTTATATAGAATAAGTGACAATTCAAATTAAAATGGTTGTCTTGCATTCATGTGCAAGATATGAACTATTCTGTCATATGACAATTTTGCAGAGAGAAGAGAAACTTCTTTTCAAATTTTATGGTATTATTTACCTCTTAATTATTTGATGTGGTGCTGTGGGTTAATGTACTAGACTGCCAGGTCCATTTGAACCACAAGGTCAGTGGTTCAGGCCTAACAGTCACCCCTTGGAACCCCTATACAGGGTCACTATGAGTAGGAACCAAATTGATGGCACTTAAAAACAATAATTATTTGGTAAAATAGAAATTTCTAAAAAATAAGTTTAAGGCCCATCTGTTTAGAAATTTGCCTGATGGTTTGGAGAACTAGTGGTTTTACACCTTTCAAATCAATTGTCAGATAGTAAATAATTTATATCCTTGCATTTAGTATTTGCCTTGAGGCAAAAAATAAAACATGAGAAAAATTTGGAAATAAAATGAAGGGAAGACTAGATAAAAGCATTATTTTTTGCATCTTTCCCCTAAATGTTTCAAAAATAATTAGTGTTTTCCTAGGACTAGAAATCTTGTCTCTTTAGATGCCTTGATTTTTTTGAACCAAAATTTAAAAAAATCTTTTCATTAGGATTATTACAGATAAATGTGTGTGTCTGTTAAAATGTTCCAGAATAATATGGTTTGGTTTTTAACATATATGATTCTTTTGTAAATTATAAAATGTAGATTCTTAGTTTTAATTTAATAGTGCTGCCAAGAAAGGGGAAAAGAAGCTCTTTCTAAATATGCATGTGTTAAGAGTAGCCAATTCTGTTCTCCAAGTGAGCAGAAGACAAAAGCTGAGCCTTAGACTCAAAGACAGAGTGTTCTTGGGCAATATAAATGAGCTCAAATAGAATTCTGTTCAAGGACATTAGGAGGAGCTTATGTTACTGATGGGTAGACCCAGACTTGGTCACTGGACTTCTTGTTGTTGTTAGGTGCCGACTCATAGTGACTTTATGCACAACAGAATGAAACACTGCCTCGCCCTGCACCAATCTCGCAATCGCTTGAGCTCATTGCTGCTGCCACTGTGCCAATCCATCTCATTGGGGGTCTTCCGCTTTTTTGCTAACCCTTCACTTTACCAAGCATGCAGTCCTTCTCCAGGAACTGGTCCCTCCTGATAATATGTCTGAAGTATGAATCACAGTGTCTGGCCATCTGACTTCTAAGGAGCATTCTGGCTATACTTCTTTCAACACAGATTTGTTTGTTGTTCTGGCTGTCCATGGCATTTTAATATTCTCCAATACCATAACTCAAATGTGTCAATTCTTCTATGGTCTTCCTTATTCATTGTCCAACGTTTGCATGCATATGAGGTTATTAAAATACCATGGTTTAGTTCAGGTGCACCTTGGTCCTCAAACAGACATATTTGTTCTTGAACACTTTAAAAAGAGGTCTTGTGCAACAGATTTGGACTAGTTAAAAAAAATATGTCTCAGGAAAACTAGACAACAGGGAAAAATAGGTCTTTCTTAGTCAGTGCAGGGTGACCTAAATCCAGGGAAGAATGCTAGGGAAGTACCCAGAAAAACAATCTCCTTATTTATTGAATGTGATCCTGGCATAGACTTCAGCAGTACAAAGAGAGCTGCAGAATACAGGTCTCCTCTTTGAGGCATGACTAGTTGACCTATACTCGGGGGATACATGGGAAGCAGTTTCTGAGATGGAGATCTTCATTGGAACCGGCAGCCATTTAAGCACAGCTGAAAGAGAACTAGGAGAGCTGGCTGGCACGATACAAACTAGAAGTCACCTGGACAACCTCTAGAGCAGACGAGTAAGTACTAATCTCAATTATGTATAGCAAAGCTAGAAAAAAACACTACCAATACCTTTTCTATTTCTAGAAATTGCATGGCTTCCTCAGTGATAAGTATTTGTGGTTTGCCTTGGTTTATTTGCTTTCCAAGATCTATATTTTTATATGCATCAGATTCTCATCCACCCCACCACCCGCCACTATAACACCTTAAACACATACACACAAATACACACCAAACAAAGCTGGAGATTGAAATGGGGAGATGAAGGAAGAAATACCAGAGAAAAGGAGAAGCTAGAAGCATTGTGTTCTTGGGGGAAAAGGAACAGAACAGAGAAGATGCTTGTAGAGAAAGGGGTCAACAGACCAATTCTATATATAATCCATTCATAACACAAGCAGGATGGGGTATATAAGGAGCTGGCCCAGGACTAAGAAATGGCTCTGGGAGTTGAAGTGGCAGAAGATCCTAGGGTGAAGTATCTGAAAAGTAAATAGAATGCTTAGAAAGTAGTATCAAAAAATGTATTTAGTATGGAAAGAAATTCAGGGGGCCAAGCAATGGCACAATTGTCATAGAGGAATTAGTAGAAAGAGGCCAAATATTTGGAGTTGGGAGATAAAACTTAAATGGGACATAGTCTCAAGTAATTGGTATATCCCTAAAAAAAAAAAAAAATTTAGTAAAGAAACTGGTGTTGACTAACTTTGATGAATGCTGTAATGACTGTAAAAAGCAGAGAGATAGAAGAAAGAAAAATGATTGTTGGGTAAAGAAAAATGTTAATTCAATCACACCTGCCAATGTGGAAGTTACCTTAAAATTTTTGGGTTATTGTTTGGTAAATGTTTATAATAAACTATGTCCTATACCTCCCTAGTCCCTGCCATTGAGTGGACTCCAATTCATAGAAACCTGATAGGACAGAGTAGAACTGCCCCAAAGGGTTTCCGAGGTTATAAATAATTACAAAACAGATTGCCCATTTTTCTTCCTCAGAGCAACTGGTGGGTTCAAACAGCTGACCTTTCTGTTAGCAATGCAATGCTTAACCCATTGTGCCACTAGGGATTTTTGATAAGGGTTGTTGTTGTTGTTGTTGCTGTTTGGTCAGTTCTGACTCACAGCAACTCTGTATAGGGTTTCCAAGGAGTGGCTGGTGGGTTTCAATCGCTGATCTTGCAGCTAGCAGTTCATTGTGTATTCTGCAATGCATAAGGGTAGCAATGATAAATCAGAGGGAATGATCCGCATGCCTCTTATTGTAGATGATTCAATTGTTGAGCCCTGAATGATTTCCTGTATCTCTAACCCAGGATTCCTGTGAGTCAAAGAGGAGCCAGATCAGAGAGAACAGTGGCAACAAAGGGTGACTGGCTACCTATGGCTTTTAGATATAGCAGTCTGAGAGTGCTGTTAGACTGCACTGACAACACATTACTATCACAAGTATTCTGGAGTACTGGGGTGGCACTGCAGGATAAGCACTGTACTTCTAACCACAAGGTTGGGGGTTCAAACCTACAAGGTGCTCCTTAGAAACTCTATACAGGCTTGCTATGAGTTGGAACCAACTCGGAAGTGCTTAACAACAAATGAAGCATTTTAAAGTACTTACAGGATTACTGAATCAAGTGAGAATTGCTAGAGAAATATTAACTGAATACACACATGTAATAGAAAGTAGCTTTCTAATCCACATAGTTCTTGAATCACTAATATACAACTCATGGGTAATTGTTAGTTGAAAAAAAAAACCAAAAAACTCACTCCACCTGGCACTGTCGCTGATACATTTTCAGTTCCTGTAAGAGCTTCTGATTTTCATCTTGTAGCTTATTTCTGCTTAATGCGATTTCACTCACAGCTGATTTTAATTTTTCAATAATGAACTCATCTCTTTCATTGGTTTCACAAATAGGATCTGGTTCACATATTAGCCGAGGGATTTCAGAGCAGTTGTCTTCTATGAATTGCTTTTTACCATTAAATTGAATTTGGTAACTTTGTGCCTGTTTCTGAAAAATATGAAAACAATGTAAATCAAGTAAAGAATATTACATAGAAGCTTATATAACATTTAAGAATAATAGAAAAGAATCAGGAAAAACATCTTTAAATATGTTATTGTCGTGGTTAAGTACCATGGAGTCAGTTCTGATTCATAGTGACCCATAAGGTTTCGGAGGAAAGGCTAGTGGGTTTGAAATGTAAATCTTTATAATAAGGGTATGTTTAGTGTGGTGAACAGTCTTATGCTTATCCTGTAGCACCACACCAGGCCTCCCAGATATGCTATTACAAAGTGAAAGTTGTTCATTTGAAATTAAGTCTTATCTTTGTCCTAAAACTGTAATTTCAGATGTGGTGCTGTAGGATAAGCACTGGACTGGTAATCACAAGGTTGGCACTTCAAACCCACCAGCCATTCCTTGGAAACCCTATACAGGGTCCGTATGACTTGGAACCGGCTGGATGGCACTTAACAAAAGAGAAAATATTTTAGTATAACCTCAGAGCAAAGATACAGAATATGAGCAAGGGGCTAGAGACTAAGCAAGAAGGAAAATCTAGAAGCTGTATAAGAACTCAACACAAAACTGTTGAAAATGTCTCTGTGACCAAATAACCAAATGAGCAAAGTAAAAACAACTGGGTTATAGAAAATGGTCTGTAATACATATAGCAAGGGATAATAACTACTAAGGCACCAAAAAATTAAACAATCAGTAAGAAAAAGACAACACAAAAGTGAGTAAAGCTTAGGAACAGGCAATTTACAGAAGAGGAAATGAAAAAGGCTAATTAGCATGTGAAGAGATGCTTAGCTTTACACATGGGCAGGGATACACAAAGCAATTCAAGTGAAGATTACTGCTTGTCCACCAAAGTTTGGAAAACCCAAAAACTGAAAACATTCCATACTGGTGAGAGTATGGGTACTCATACATTGTAAATTACTATAATTTTTGGGGTTATCTGCTAACACTTATTTAAAACTTGATTGCACATTCATTTTGGCTCAACATTCATTGCTGAGATTTTTATCCAACAATGTATACTAGTGGTTAAAGATGTATATACAAGCATATCACAATATTCTACTAGCAATAATCTGGAACTAACTGAATGTTCATCAATAGGGAATTGATGGGAAGAATGATGGTATGTTGTTGTTAGATGCCATGGAGTCAGTACTGACTCATAGTAACCCTATGCACAAAAGAATGAAACACTGCCTGGTCCTGTGCCAACCTCACAATTATTGCTACGTCCAAGCCCATTGTTGCCACCACTGTGCCAATCCATCTTGTTGAGGGTCTTCCTCTTGCTCTCCAACCCTTCACTTTACCAAACATGATATCCTTCTCCAGGGACTGGTCCCTCCTGATAATATGTCTTAAGTATGAAAGATGAATTGTGGCCATCCTGGCTTCCAAAGAGCATTCTGGCTGCTCTTCTTCCAACACAGATTGGCTTGCTCTTTAAGCAGTCCATGGTGTTTTCAATATTCTCTGCCAGTATCATAACTCAAGTGCATCAATTCTTCCATGGTCTTCCTTACTTGCTGTCCAACATATATAATTATTGAAAATATCGTGGCATCGTGGCATTGTGGCTAAGGTCAGGCACACCTTAGTCCTCAAACTAACCTCTACTCTTCAATACTTTAAAGAGGTCTTGTGCAGCAGATTTACCTAATGCAATATGACATTTGATTTACTGACTGTTGCTTCCATGAGTGTTGATGGTTGATCCAAGCAAAATGAAGTCCTTGACAACTTCAATCTTTTCTCCATTTATATGGATGTTGATTACTGGTCTAGTGGTGAGGATTCTTTTGTTCTTTACATTGAAGTGCAACCCATATACCAAAGGCTGTGGTCTCTGATCTTCATCAGTAAGTATTTTGAGTCCTCTTCACTTTCAGCAAGCAAGGTTGTACTGCACATTACAGGTTGTTAATGAGTCTTCCTTCAATCCTGATGCCGCATTTTTCTTCATATAATCCAGTTTACTGGATGATTTGTTCAGCATACAGATAGAATAAATATGGTGAAAGAATATAACCCTAGTGTACACCTTTCCTAATTTTAAACCATGCGGTGTTCCCTTATTCTTGGAACAATTGCCTCTTGGTCTAGGTACAGCTTCCTCATGAGCACAATTAAGTATTCCAGAATACTCATTCTCTGCAATGTTGACCATAGCGTGTCATGATCCACTCAACTGAAAGCCTTTAAACACCCTTCTGGTATTCTCTGCTTTTAGCCAAGATCTAATGCCAGCAATGGTATCCCTTGTTTCACATCTTCTTCTGAATCTGGCTTGAACCTCTTGGAGTTCTCTGTCAATGTATAATTGCAGCTATTTTTGTATCATATGTAGCAAAATTTTACTTGCATGAGATATTAATGGTATTGTCCAATGATTTCTGCATTCCATTGGTTCACCTCTTTGGAATGAGTGCAAATACAGATCTCTTCCAGTCAGTTGGCTAGGTAGTTGTTTTTCAAATTTCTTGTCATAGATGAGTGAGTGCCTCCAGTGCCACATCAGTTTGTTGAAAGATTTCTATTTGTATTCCATCAGTTCCTGGTGTCTTATTCTTTGCCAATGCCTTCAATGCACATTGGACATCTTTCTTCAGTATCACTGGCACTTGATCATATGCTACCTCTTGAAATGGTTAAACATGGTCAATGTTTATTCCTTCCATCTTATTTAGAAATTTTCTGTGTATTCCTTCCATCTACTGCATTTTTTTAAAAAAAGTTTTTATTGTGAATTGAGGGATAGTTTACATGGGAGAAAATCAGCTTTACATTCATCCTTATCATATTTCGTTTCATTGCAATGATTACAATCCCGTCCATGAATCATCATTCAACAACATTTGCTTCCATTCCCTCTGTTTTGTTTTATTTTCCTTCTAATTTCTTTTGATACTTTCTGCATCACTCAATATTTTCCCATAGAATCCTTCAATATTGCATTATAAGCAAAGTCCAGGCCAACCTCACCCCTGCTGGAGGTCATTTCCTGATTTACGTCATCCCCAATTATTCTCTTATTCCTCTGACCTCCAATAGGATTTTAATTTTTTTCATTTACTTATTACATGCTGTCAAGTCCATTCTGACTCTCATAATGACTCTGTATATGTTTCCAAAGAGCCACTGGTGGGTTTTAAATGTTGACCTTACAGTAAGCAGTCCGGTGCTTATCCTACACCAGGATTCCACTTACTTGTTATTAATTTTCTGTAATTATGGGGACCCTCCTGGTGTTGCGCTGTGGGTTAATGCGCCAAACTACAAAGCCGTTTGAACTGCCCAGTCGGCGCTTCAAGTTCACCAGCTGCTCTTCGGAAACCCTATATAGGGCCGCTATGAGTAGGAATCGACTTGACAGCACTTAACAACAACAGTGGTGCCAACAGTAAATGTGCTTATAATGCAAAGTTTGGAGGCCTAGTGATCTACTGCCCCCCAAACCTATGCATTGAAAACCCTATATAGAACACAGTTCTACACATGGGGCTGCTGTGAATCCAAATCACCTCTAAGGCAACTGGTTTTGTTTTGTTTTATGTGTATATGTGTATTATCTCTGTGTCTTAACTGGGAGGCTCTAAGTTGTAGTAATTTTGGACTTTCTAAATGCCTTGCCCATATGTATGCAAAAAAAAAAATGTATTACACTTATTTGACGACATAATAATGAAAACATTTACTCGTTCCATCCTGTGAGACATAGAGACTGAAGTTTACCATTAAAGATATTTCATGCCTTGCAAATGTACCTAGTTTTGTACCTACTCAGGTTAGGTATTTTCCTTTAGTTTGCACTTCTATCTGTAACTAGATTATAAGTGGAATGGCAAAGATACTAATATTTAACTTTTAATTTCTTATTTAGAAAATATTGTTATATGATGTACCTGAAATTGATTACATTTCTCAGATAATGATTTTTGTTGAGCATCTAAAGAAACCAGATGAGTCTGATACAATATCTCTTGCTTGTCCCATTCTCTTGACTTTGCTCTAAATTCCTTTTAAAAGAGGGAAATAAACATAAATTGAAGAAAATTATTCATTTTAAAGGTCAGTGAATACATTTTCCCTCCCTTGTACAGTCTCATACTGGGGTGTGTGTGTGTGTGTGTGTGTGAATCTATTCTTTCCCTTTTAAGTAAAAAAAAAGTATTAATTCACTCATCTTGGATTAATTATATTGTTGTTGTAAGATGCCATCAAGTAGTTTGGACTCATAGCGACCCCATTATAGTTTTCAAGACTGTAAATATTTACTATAATAAAAAGCCTTATCTTTTTCCTACAGAGTGGCTGGTGGGTTTGAACTTCTGATCTTGTTGTTGGCAGTCCAGTGCTAACTCTACAGTACCACAAGCACTCCTTTTTATTATTATAATAATTTTTATTATACAGTTGTCCTTCAGTACCCATGGGGGTTGGTTCCAGGACTCCGCGGATACCAAAATCCACCAATGCTCAAGTCCCTTATATAAACCCTAACCTAGATAACCTTAAATCCCCTCTGTTGTTGTTCTCAAAGGCCGTCAAGTTGGCTCTAACTCATAATGGTCCTATGCATAACAGAACAAAATACTGCCCAGTCCTGTACCATACTAACAGTTGTTACACTTAAGTTCATTGCTGCTGCCACTGTTGAAATCCATCTTATTGGGAGTCTTCCTCTTTTAAGATGACCTTTCCAAGCACAAAGCCTAATTTATTGTAACTGCCATGTAAACAACACTTTATGTTCCATCTTAGCCTTTGAGGGATTGCTCCGATCACTTCATTGCTTCCCACATCCAAATATTTTTTATGTCAGGTTGGTTGCAGCCACAGATGCAGAACTTAAGGATATAAAGGGTATACCTTTAAAAGTTATGTTAGGAAATATGGAATTTGTATTTAAACATTTTCTTTGATAAAAATGCAAAAAGTCTCTTTTATAACAAATGCTGACTATTAATAAGGGTGCTTCAAATAACTTTTTGCACCAACCATTTCTTCCTTTCTTGGGTCTGATGCCACCACACACTCCCCTTCCTTTCCTTATTTATACTCAGTCACCGAACCTGTCACCTGGTTTTTTTAGGGGATGGGGCTTTAACTTAATGATCTATCTCCTTTCAAAGCTGCAATCCAAGATGAGCCAAGATCAGCTCAGTCTTGTGAACAGGAAAACCACTGACGCCCACAATTAGGCAGTACCAGCTGGGTAGGAAATGGTAGAACTGGCCTGGTTCAGTAGTCTAAGTTCTTCAATGTTTTGGTGAAGTAGTGTAAACATGGAGTGTGATTTTTGATCCACACTTCAATAACAGGAGAAGACGTGGCTTTGAGGATACCAAATATGAACTTCAATTTGTCTTTGTTAGTAACACTGGGTGGGTTCCAAATCATAGCTACCCTGTGCCCAATAGAATGAAACACTGCCAGGTCCTGTGTCATCCTCACAATTGTTGTTACAATTGAGTCCATTATTGATGCCACTGTGCCAATCCATCTCATTGGGGCCCCTGCTCTTTTTCTCTGACCCTCTATTTTACCAAGCATTGTATCCTTCTCTAGGGACTGATCCCTGCTGACAATGTGTTTGAAGTATGAGAGATGAACTCTCATCAACCTGACTTCTCAGGAGCATTCTGGCAGTACTTCTTCCAAGACAGACGTATTTGTTCTTCTGGCAGTCCATGGTACTTCTTATATTCCTGTCCAACAGCATATTTCAAACACCTCAGTTCTTCTATGGTCTTCCTTATCCACTGTCCAACTTTAATATGCATATGAGGATATTGATGATACTATGGCTGAGTCAGGTGTACCTTAGTCCTCAAACTGACATCTTTGCTCTTGAATACTTGAAAGAGGTCTTATGCAGTAGATTTGCCTAATGCAGTATGTCATTTGATTTCTTGACTGCTGCTTTCATGAGTGTTGGTTGTGGATCTGAGTGAAATAAAGTCTTTGACAACTTCAATCTTTTCTCCATTTATCATGACATTATTTATTTGTCCAGTGATGAGTATTTTTGTTTTTCTTACTTTGAGGTACAACTCATATTTAAGGCTGTGGTCTTTGATCTGCAGCAGTAACTGTTTAAACAAGGTTGTATAATCTGCATATTGCAGGTTGTTAAGGATTTTTTCTCCAATCCTGAATGCCATGTTCTTCTTCATATAATGTAGCTTCTCAGATTATTTGCTCAGCATACAGATTGAATAAGTGTGGTGAAAGACTACCACCCTGGTACACACCTTTCCTGATTTTAATCCATTCAGTATCCCTTGTTCTGTTGGAACAACTGACTTTTTGTCTATGTACAGGTTCCTTGTGAGTGTAATTAAATTCTCTGGAGTACCCATTTTTGCATAGCATATGCATTTATCCATAGCTTGTCATGATCCACACAGTTGAAAGCCTTTGTATAGTCAATAAAGCACATGTAAACATCTTTCTGGTATTTTCTGTTTTTAACCAAGATTCATCTGATATCAGCTATGATTTTCCTTGTCCTGCGTCTTTGTCTGAGTCTGACTTGAACCTCTGGCAGTTTCCCTTCAATGTACTGTTGCAGTTGATTTTGAATTATTGTCAGGAAATTTTTATTTGCATGTGATATTAATTATATTATTCAATATTTTCTGAATTCTGTTTGTTCACTTATCTTTGGAATGGTAACAAATACGAATGTCTTCCAGTCAGTTGTCCACTGGCTGTATTTCAAGTTTCTTGATGTAGATGAGTGAGTTCCTTCAATGCTGCATCAGTTGGTTGAAAGATTTCTATTTGTATTCCATCAATTCCTGTAGCTTTGTTCTTTGCCAGTGCCTTCAGTGCACCTTGTATTTCTTCCTTCAATACCGTTGACTCTTGATCATATGCTACCTCTTAAAATAGTTGAATAACAACCATTTCTTTTTTCTTCCATCTTCTTTCTACGCTTTCTGCATCATTCAATATTTTGTCCATGGAATCCTTAAAAAGTCGAGGCTTGAATTTTTTCTTCAGTTCTTTCAGCTTGAGAAATGCTGTGTGAGTTTATCTCTCTTGGTTTTCTAAATCCAGGTCTTTGCACCTTTATTATAATAGTCGACTTTGTCTTCTCAAGCTGCTCTGTGACATTTTCTGCTCAGCTCTTTTATCTCCTCATTACTGAAATCTGTTTTAGAACCTCTACATTGGTGCTGCATTGTGGGTTAATGTGCTGGACTGTAAAGTCAGTTTGAAATACAAGGTCGGTGGTTCAAGCTCACCAACTGCTCCTTGGAAACCCTATACAGGGTCGCTAAGGGTCAGAATTGACTCGATGCCACTTAACAACAGCAACAAACACTGGAGAGCAAGTTTCAGAGTCTCCTCTAACATCCATTTTGGTCTTTTCTTTCTTTCTTCCTGTATGATGTTCTTGAAGTCATTCTACAGTTTTTCTGGTCTTCAGTCATTAATGTCTAATACATCAAATCTGTTCTTAAGATGGTCTCTAAATTCAGGTGGGAT